CGAATAGCAATACGAAATTTTACATGTTAGTCGTCCATTATAAGCTACCTTAGTTATGTATATCCATCCATACATAATATTGATGCCATGATTAATAATTGATTGACTTTGTATCTTTATGGTTGTCATTATCATGAAACTCTCTAACACACCATATTATTTCTGAACATGCTATAGTTGTTCCAGCCATTGCCAAACCTGAGTATGGAAAGCATGGCATAGCGTATACTAGCAAACTTGCTGTTCATTACGTAGCGTCTGGTACTCCTGGCAAGCCTTTAATTCTTTTCATACACGGCTTTCCAGAGGTATGCATAGCAACAATATGATATGCAATCGTCGTATCGATAAACGTGATCACTTTTGACCCGTTGCCAAGTTAGTGGATCGTTTACTGTACTGTATATTTAAGAACATTTAACAAACATCGAGCTGGCGGTTAGCTTGATATTTCACTCACCTGAGCTACAGCGTTAAAACTAAGCAATATGTTGTATTCAAAATTTGAATACCACATGCTTTTTTAAGCAACTCATATCATTCAATTAAATTCACCCGTAAATGTAATCATAACCGATGTCATTTATAAATCTAGTTTTGGTTTTCATGGCGTGCTCAACTTAAAGAATTTGGTAACGATTATTATGCTGTTGCAATGGATAACAGGTATTGTTTACGCATTGCATTTTAAATTAGGTGCAACTTTTGACAAGTAGTACTCCTTACCAATTATACTACGAACGAATACCAGCATAGATAATATTATTACAATACTATCTGCTATTGATATACCCACTTATCACAAAATGTAAAAATAAGACATTTTAAGTTGTATACTAAAAGGCAAATGGTTTTACTGAAAATATTGCCAAGCATATGTCCGATCTGCAGAGAATACCCAATGTATTGTCTAAAAGTATTTATGATATCTAATTTCTACATAGAGGATATGGTGATACCACTATCCCTAGCTTAAAATCTAAAGATTATTGTATTGATCTACTTGCTCAAGACGTTAAAGAAGTGGTAAGAATTATGATTTTACATAACTTACTCATGTTATTAGTAAATCAACTTAACTCATCTATATATTCCGGCATTTTTTTGACA